CCACCTTCCTTCCCCAGGGGGTAAACGTGAGACCCTAGGGTCATAAACCTTAAGACCCTTCCATCTATGAAGAGTGTTTGATTCTACCATATCTGGGTCTTTGAGAAGATTTTGTTTTGAAATTTCAGTCAATTCAACCCATCAACCCTGGGAGGTCAGTCAGGGCTTATATGTGCATACCATCAAACTGCTATCCAATACTGATAATGCTAACCCAAATTGAATTACTTCCAATGAAAATTAAACAAATGTTGGTCCAAAATGTGATTTCCTTATATAAACTATAGTAAAGTTTATCCCCTCTTCAGGGGTTAACGTGAGACCCCAGGGTCATAAAATTCACAATTTTCGTAGAGCACCTTAAGACCCTTCCATCTATGAAGAGTGTTTGATTCTACCATATCTGGGTCTTGAGAAGAAGATTTTTGAAATTTCGGTCAATTTGACCCTTTTTGACCCCACCAATCAGCCTTGGGGGGTCAGTCAGGGCTCATATGTGCATACCATCAAACTGCTACCCAATACTGATAATACTATCCTAAATTTAATTACTTCCAATGGAAATTAAACAAATGTTGGTCCAAAATGTGATTTCCCTATATAAACTATAGTAAAATGTACACCCTCCCCAGGGGGAAACGTGATACCCAAGGGTCATGAAATTCACAATTTTGGTAGAGCACCTTAAGACCCTTCCATCTATGAAGAGTGTTTGATTCTACCATATCTAGGTCTTGAGAAGAAGATTTTTCAAAATTTCAGTCAATTCGACCAATTTTGGCCCCACCCAATAGCCCCGGGGGGTCAGTCAGGGCTCATATGTGCATACCATCAAACTGCTACCCAATGCTAATAATGCTAACCTAAATTTAATTACCTCCAATGGCAATTAAACAAATGTTGGTCCAAAATGTGATTTCCCTATATGAACTATAGTAAAGTTTACCCCCTCCCCAGGGGGAAAAGTGAGACCCCAGGGTCAAGAAATTCACAATTTTGGTAGAGCACCTTAAGATCCTTCCATCTATGAAGAGTATTTGATTATACCATATCTGGGTCTTGAGAAGAAGATTTTTGAAATTTTAGTCAATTTGACCCTTTTTGGCCCCACCCCTCAGGCCCCTGGGGGCTGGGGACCAAACTGGCAACTAATTTTGTTGACCTTTGGCCATGGAAGGTTTCTGCAAAATTTCATTGAAATTGGTTCAGGGGTTTTGGAGAAGAAGTGGAAAATGTAAATTGTTTACGGACGGATGACGGATGTCGGACGACGACGGACAAAAGGCGATCGCAATAGGTCACTTGAGACTTTGGCTCAGGTGACTAAAAGCATCATGCCTTTTTAACAAAACAAAGAACATTTCTGTTGTTTTTCTAATGTAAAGTGTTCCGGATCTTAAAAATAAAATAACTAATATCAACATAAATAGTTTTTTCATCAAAAGGATCAGTAAGTTAGTGTTTTTTCTCCTCGAAAATACATGTAAGCGTACCATTCAGTGCATAACTAGATATGAAATTTAATTTACAAATTAATAATTTGTGAGGAAAAACTAAATTATATACATGACTTCTACGTTACTTTTCTTGACGAGAATCATAGATGACATGTTTAAATATACAACATCGTATGGCGCAAAGGAAGGTTTCGCACCGTAAGCCTTACTAAAGTTTTAACCATTGCTAAAGAATTTAAATAATACTTAAATTTTCTGTCTTCAAATCAGTGTCATATGATGAACAGAATCTTATAATTGTAATCAAAATGAAACTACATCAATTCAAATTCCTCATGCAAATCAGACTTAAATTGCTAGGGCCTTCGAATATCTTTCAGTGTATCAACCTGTCATTTAAATTTTCAAATTATTTTTAGAAGTTCCAAAACATTGATTATTTCTGGTCTTCAGATGATCTTGTAGAATTCCTTTTCATGTAATTTTAGTAAAGAATTTCAATGTTTTCCGAATAATTCTAGCTAAAAGATTTAAGTTAATTTGTGTGAAGCGCCATCTTGGCTTTTTTTTTAAAGTATGATCATCTTTACCAAAATAATTTTCATCGACTGTACTTTGCTCAGAATTTTTTCATTTTCCAAATTTGTTGGTGTTTTTTCATCTTCAAGAAATGTTATATCTATGGAGACCAGAACATCTAATTTTAGATGATTTTTTTTGAGGTTTAGTGATATCACATAAAAATCATTCTTTATCACGTACTACTTGTAGGTAAGCTAATTAGACTTTTGAAAATGACAAGAATCAGCTTTTAGACGGATTTGGATTTCTGATTCAGTTTGACAAGTAAAACAAATTTCCAAACGCTTTAAAATATATTTACTAAATCAGTAACGCCTTGGCAGGGCAGGCACTACTTAGATGCTCGCGATTACACTCGCATTGCATGCTGTCTTTGGAATGCGCATGATTAATCACAAAATTTAAGGCAAAGCTTTTATTTTGGAATTTGTAACTTTTGGATGAGTTTCAATAAAATGAAATTCCTCTGATTTGTTTGATAAAAACTACACATTGCACATTTCAATGAAAGATTCATTAATATTTGCGATTTATTTTTTCCAAGATCTGTTGATAAATTAACATTTGTAGGAGTTAAGCTCTAGTCTCAATAGGAGTCTCGGGGATAGATTTTCAGGGCAACATGTCAGATTTAGTTGTTACCACGTATGTCCCTTGATATTTCAGTGCCGTAGAATTTCTGTTTTTGACACACATCATTATTTAAATGCAGGGTAAGCAATGTACCGTAACACTGTCATCAAGTTCAAAGTACCACAAATTAATTTGCATGTAAACATTTTGTATGCTTGTGATTTTTCTCAACCTGTAAAGCATTGTTAACCATAAAACTGTGATGAGCTGAAAATCTTAATATTCAGAACACAGAAAAAACCTTGAATGTCAGGGAAAACATAAACGAAATAGTCACATCATTCGAAATATGGCACGTTCATTGTTTTCAACCACCCTGATTTGGTTTGTTCCGTTAAATCTCCTTATGAAAAACACAAAGTTAAAGAAGAAATCCTGATCTTTTGAGTGTTTGAATCAAAAATATAATCAAATTTGAATGAAGCATGAAAATAAGCCTCTAAAAGACACTGAACAGAAAAGTACAGGTCTGTCCTGGGAGCAGAGCTTTATCCCACAAATGTTTTAAAGACAGTATAGAAGTGAAAATTGAACACAAGCAATGCAGATTGGTGCTTGATTATGATTGAACACAAAACATTTTGGGAAAACGTATTATGGGCTGGACAATTATCAAAAGACTTTTGAATGTTACAGTTATGAACATTTTCATTCCAAAAGTCAAAAGACCAGCAGGGGTGATTATTCAAGTATAGGTGATTGTGAGAATTGATACCATATTTTTGTCTTACAATAAAACTGTTCTATGCTCAAACTTTTCTTAAAACGAATGTATATTGTTATGCAATAAAACTGTTCTACGTTTTTGATAGAACTAAAATGTACATCTTACAATGAAATAATATTTCATCTGCTTCATGTCGCTTACATGTTCATCTTGCGATAAAAACACTTGACAAGACAACAAACATCAATATCGCAGTGTTATTGACACTATAATGGATCACGTCCACTCCACCAGAGTACTTTAAAGTGAAAAATAAATCCTGTACTTTTATTTACGATTTAAGAAATGTGGAGACTCCGATAAAATACAACTTCAATGTCCAAATGAATCATGCTCTCGTCAGATCCACCACGAAGACAATGGTGGTGTCGTCTGCTCGCTTGTCTGACCTCTCTACTGAGATGCTGGCAGGTGATCTCTAGCTTAGATCCAATATCCTGTCTGCCGAGGTTGATTGAAATCAGTTCCAAGGAACATCAGACTCTTGCCTCAGATCTAAAACTCGTCAGAATGTAATAGTCCTCCTGTCCAGTCAAGTTTTGCTACCAAACCAGCCTTTACATGTTAATTTGATGACTTCCTTCCACAAAGGTTATCTGATGTACTCGTAGACTAACAGATTCTACAGTTTAACTCAATAAACTCAATCTGTGCTATTTTAAAAAGTAAATGTAACACCCAAAGCTGAAACAAGCTCGAGTCCAAAGTTCACATCAGCACCGAGTATTCAGTGATATGCTAGAAACCCCAATTACCACTGGGCCATATAATTACATTATGAATATTTTTGCAAAATATTAATCCCCATGAATGTATCCACATGTAAGAATTCTGATATTTTTCATGATCTATGCAGAATGACCTAAAAATGTCAGAATATTCTGTCATATGATTGAGATATATATTGTATTTAATGGGAAAACTAATTATTTTCTATTAATTACATTTCTAAAGCATAAAGAAGAAATTATTGGTGCATCAATTAAGAAAGTTATTATTATCAGATTGATAGAATTTCAAAAATGTAAGAAATTGTGCAAATAAACATTTCCTTGACCTTGATGGAAATATCACACAAACAAGCATTTTCGTGACCCCAATCTCTATATCACTTTTCATAACTGATTAGAATATAACACAAACACTTCCATGACTCAGGTAGGACAGTTACACAATAACTAGAAATGTGTCTGTAAGGCAGGGTTACCATTCCCACACTTAAGAAATAAAGCAAGGTCACAGAGGTCAAAGTCAAAGGTTGAGGTAACGAAAATCATACATGCTGTACTTATAGAGGAGCATTAGCATGAGGAATTGCAGGACCCTAGCTGCAAAACTTAGTACATAACTGACCTACATGCAAGAACTTAGCCAATGTCAGAGGTTCAGGTCAAGGTGAAGGTCACAAAGAGCCCTGAAACATTCTGTATTCATCAAAGTACATATGTATGTTGAGTTACCTGTCTCTGTCTGCAGCACTTAATCATAACCGACCAAAACACAAAAGCCTAACCAGCTGGACGCATGAATGTATGATGTCCAGCACCACTTCATGGCAGGCGAAACAAAGATGAAACCATGGCGACCTGAAGGCCACATACCTTGGGTTCTAAGTGGCCTGTGCTGTAGCCCCTGCCACTGTCACTGCTGGCGGCACTGTTACGATTACTATTGGTCGGACTGCCTTTGGCTGGACTAGCGGTCCTCAGGTCCCCAACGATGGAGTATGGAGTTGGAGATGCCCAGTCGCCATGGTGATTGTGTAAGTTGTGTTCGCCAACATGGTTGTGATTATCATATGGTCTACCATTTACATTCTGAAAAACAGCAATAATAAAATAATTTAGGATGTGAAAAATAACAACAAAATGAAAGATTTGGGATTAGAAACAGCCCCATTATTTTCCTTTATTCCTCGATAAAATCATTTTTCTATGATAAATGAAATGTGATATGTTACATCCTGTAGTTGTAGTGTCGCAATGATGTCATAATGTCACAACTAATATTCAAATCAGCACCATATATAAGGGAACAAGGGGGAAAATGATTTCAGGTACTCCACCTTGGTAAAATAATAGCCACTTTCTGCCGAATTGGCAGGAGAGAATTTCTTTTTAGCTCAATTGATAGAACAATGGACCAGTAAGCCAGTTCCAGGGCTAGATCCATGCAGGGACATTAAAAACTAAATACCGTTGTTACAGGTAGGGCACAAATACATTTGCACTCTCAAGTGAAGTAACTGGATAGAACATGATAGTATACATTACTGATATCTCATAGAACCATATAAATTGTAGATAATAGTGCAAGTCCATTGTAAAAAAACTTAGTTCTGTCACAACAATTTTAAAATCCGGTTGCGATAAGTAACAGTTCATTAAGACACCGACAAGAAAACAGGTCTCTATGCAACTTCCCAATCAGCATCTGCAACAGAATCTACCATAGAGTGATTACAGATCTACAGACTGCAGCACTAAGTGAACTTTATGGTGGTAAGCTGATAGAGCCACACCACCAGGGTGATATCACAGACGACTTACTGTGGCACTCTACCTTGCACAGTTGCACATATTTGTGAAGTTTGATGCGTGGCGGCAATAAATACCACCTTTGTGTCACAGAGGTAGACAATTAATGCCATTTCAAATTACAGCAAGTAGACCCTCTATTGGAAACAAACACTAAAAGTTTCCTGACCTTTTCAATCATTCAGCAGTCTTACCTCCCAGATGTATATCATTGATAAGAGCACAGACAACTTGCATGCTCACATCCACAATGTATTCCAGGGATGGTGAAAGGTCACAGCCAGAAGGTGAAAGGGCATTTTTCAAAAGGGCAGAGGTCATAGACAGTTGGTGAAGGAGATCAAAGGTCATAGTAAAAAGGTGAAAATCTTGGCCATTTAGTGAAAGATCACTTCCTACGAGTCATGAGAAATCATCAAAATTCCAATTCTTGAAATCAGGTAGGTGAAAGGTCTTCAGAGGTTATATAGGTTGCTGGTTTCAGTGCTAAATTGACATATTTCCTCTAACACGGAGAGCTTCATCAGCACTATACATAAAGCTCTTCCAACATTCCCAATCAATGATGGAGGGCCAAATGGCACTTCTCCTTGACAACTCATGCATGTAAAATATCCCTGTTTTATCATTACACATTCTGGGCCTGTTCGCCTTCACAGCTCTACTAGTTAAACACTGCCGATTATTGATGTATCATGTTTGGCTCCAGTGTAGGGTACGAGGTACTTGTGCACCATTTCGCTATCTTTCTGGTCCAGACACCTTTATGCATCAGGAATCTAATTTTATGGCTTTTGTTTTATGGCTTTTATCTTAAAAAAATTATTTTGAACAATTAAAAACTTATCTGAAAAAAGCAGAGAATATGAAATTGAATTTCATTATCTCCACTGTATACTGAAGATATCCAAACACACTTCACTATCTCCACTGTATACTGAAGATATCCAAACACACTTCACTAAGATATTGTCCATAGAGACTAAGAATGTTCTAAATTGGACAGCCAATTCAACTCTTTGAAGTCTGCTATACAATGTTTATACAAATTCTGCCTATTCTGCACAATCAAATCTTTTTGTAATTTTTTTCACATTGAAGATTTTTCAATTCCAAGTTGCTTGAATATTCTAAAACTGATTCCGATAATTAAGCTATTTCAAATTACACCAGTATCTGACGAAACCAATGTATTTACTGAGGTATAATTACCCCAGGTTGTTTTCTGTACATGGAAGGAGATTTATTTAATGAATCAAGCTGGCCTTGTTTTATACCAATACTGTGTGTCTATAACAAAGTCCTGTTCACTATTTCCTTAGAAACGAACTTGCTGACCTCGTAATGTTTACCCCTCAATGATCTTAATATCCATCATCAAACAATTTCCTTGACAACCAAACAGAAAATTGTTGATCAGTTTGTATGCTTCTTTGTCATTGCAAAAATTTAATTTAAATGTTTTTTGATGGATAATTTCCAGGAGATTCAAACAAAAACGTGATCCCCCAGAATACAATTTAATCGGGTTACCTCCTAACTGGGGCCTGGGTCTGTATTTAACATCAAAGACGGCCATTATTGGGTAATGGATCAATTGGCCGAATCAACATCTGTTATTTACCGCCATCCTTTCCACATTCACTTCAGTATAATCCAATAACCTCAGTCAACACACACAAACCACAGACCGGTTCCTTGAACATTATTGTAGAATGAAAGTATATCTTTAAGCATAGGAGCTCTGAGTTGCTGTGGTACAGATATGGGGAATCTGCAATTTACCTTAATCACCGAAAAGGGATTATTCTATTTCACTGTATTTATATAGTTGGACTTTAACTGTTCGACATCCCAAGGGGACTGATTCATGGTGGCAGGCAATGTGTACAGTAGGCAGGGGTTTTAATTAGGTTAGCTAGCTTCTCTGGAGGAATTCACACAGAAATTCATTAAAACAAACTACTCACGAACCCATACATTATTTATTTGATTGTCCTCCATAATTTGGGTATTTAATCTTAAAGTAATGAGTAGTCTCCCCTTCTGACCAAGAGATTGCCTAAATGCAACTGTTGACCCTTAATGACTGAAATAGTTCATAAGCTGCAAAACAATTTAAAATCAAAAACATACATGCAACTGTTGTTTACTCTTCAAGACAGATAACGATCACATACAACTAATTGTTCTCTCCCCTTCTCAGATAAGTAATGATTACACAAAAAAGGTGTCTCCCCTTATGAGACAGGTAACAATCTTATTAAATAGTTGTCTCCCCTTCAGAGACGGATAACAATTACACACAAAAGTTGTCTCCCCTTCTGAGACAGATTACAATTACACACAAAAGTTGTCTCCCCTTCTGAGACAGATAACAATTACACACAATGGTTGTCTTCCCTTCAGAGACAGATAGAAATTACACACAAAAGTTGTCTCCCCTTCTGAGACGGATAATAATTACACACAATAGTTGTCTCCCCTTCTGAGACAGATAACAATTACACACAATGGTTGTCTTCCCTTCAGAGACAGATAACAATTACACACAAAAGTTGTCTCCCCTTCTGAGACAGATTACAATTACACACAAAAGTTGTCTCCCCTTCTGAGACAGATAACAATTACACACAATAGTTGTCTCCCCTTCTGAGACAGATAACTATTACACACAAAAGTTGTCTCCCCTTCTGAGACAGATAACAATTACACACAATGGTTGTCTCCCCTTCTGAGACAGATAACAATTACACACAATGGTTGTCTCCCCTTCTGAGAAAGACAACTATTACATATAATAGTTGTTCTTGGAAAACCTGATTTTTGTGTGTTTAATTTAAGAACTGTAATTCATTTTTAAAATACCCAATCACTTGAAAAGCCTGTAGACACTTGATCAAGGCCCGCTTCAGTTGTAAAATTAAATATGTACCAACCCTGGGAGGTCTTACAGTAGCCAATATTGACTCTGAATACATCAATCAATTATGTAAATGTGTACTACATGGCCACTTGTAATACACTGGTTTAACTATAGATAACATTTAATCGTCTTCAAAGGGAAACATCACTTAATACAAATTTGATGAATAAATCCTCTCAAGAATGTTTCTCAAGTGTGCTGAATTCAACAAATTTAATCAAAGATTTAATTAGGACACTATGCCAATGGTCTTTCTGAACTATATGCTCATTTAAATCTTCATAAAAGCATTACCTCGAAGTACTGTGCATTTGGTTTAAACCTGGACACGCTATTATCCTCACAGAGTAATTTACTGACAATTCAATGGTCTACTTGGCATAGATCTGACAATTCAATGGTCTACTTGGCATAGATCTGACAATTCAATGGTCTACTTGGCATAGATCTGACAACTCAACATCCTAGCAATTCTGATGTGGAATTGTCAGCACATGAAACGAATAAAAATATCTTCTGAATCACTAGATATTTAACGCTTCAAAACAAATACTCCAATCGTAGCTTTTGACAACCCAATCATCAAACAATGTCTACTGAATACGAAAACTTTATTTTCAGTTGACAGGTCATCAACCAAGCATTTAATGAAGCAATTAGCTAATTGACCCGTTTGTTAATTAATTAACAGACACAATACACTGGACAAATGAACCATTACACAACACAGGATGTATATAAAACCTTTGATCATAAGGGCTATTTTGTAATTCCTGATCAATTGTCATTTCAGGCCTTAGATAAAAGCTTGGTTAACCTAGTGAGAAATTCATACAAACTTTTAACTTGTATATGCTAAAACAATACCAAAATTTAAAAGTAAACCTACATATAGATGTCTGTATATATTTTGATTATTTTTTTGAAGACTAAATGCCACAAAAGTAACCTGAATGTTATTGGTGTATGTTAAAATATCCTAAATGTTATAGGTGTATGTTAAAATATCCTAAATGTTATAGGTGTATGTTAGAATATCCTAAATGTTATAGGTGTATGTTAGAATATCCTAAATGTTATTGGTGTATGTTAAAATATCCTAAATGTTATAGGTGTATGTTA